TGAGCCGAGACTGATGTACTGTGGTCTTCTCTTTGAATACTTTTTATTAATTGATAGACTGTAGGATGATCATGTCCAACAGTATTCTATATCGAAAAGAAAAGCACATGATTAATATAGAAGATCAGCACTTAATCTAATTTAGTTACGTGAAAACTATTGTGCCAACCTTCTACTGCATTGGTTGTACGAGCTAATTCTTTTTCAATACGTTCAAAACAATTCCACATCGATATGTGAAATCTTGGTTCAGCTCGTCTATTTCGATTCATTATACGTCCCACATAAGTATCTTCGAAATACATAATTAAACCTACAGAAAACAAATATTGCTGTATTCGCATACTTTGCAATACGTATTACTTTCAAACAATTTTCGCTTACCATCTAAATTATCAGAAGCAGAATCTTTAATCCACGTAAATTCTTCTACTACTTTATCAGGCGGAACAAAACACTGCGCAACTAAATTTTTCATACTTCTCCGACTTGTATCCGTGTTTACAAACTCATCTTTTAAATGGAGCTCCTGGAAGACAAAAAGATAACGAAAAAATGAGGTCAAAAGATGAAATTAGAAGTTATTTACGAGTATTTTTCGCCATACTGCTTGTTTGAAATGGAAAAAACAACCAAAAACCTGTGAGCTCGGAAAACAACTTTCGAAGGCACTCTGGCTAGCTTTTTCAAAATCGATGGTGATAAAATCCGGTTCATAATTAGGCATTTCAGCTTTAATCCGATTAAAAACTTCACTATATATTTCCTTGCTTTTATTTGGTAATACCCAGGAAGAAATTTTGCACCCTCGCAGGTCCTTCGCAGGCATTAAAATTTTTTTTTCCGCCTTTAAGGCGTTAAAAACCTTCTTTTGACACATTTAACGGCTTTACACGACTTGAGATTTTTAACGCGTTCTGTGTAGTTATCCGTGTGAACCGAAGACATTTCGAATGCGTTATTTTTATAAACGTCCATAATGTATGTAAAATTTTAATGCATTGTAGCGTCTTTAGAAAACTTTTCTGGCTCTAAGGCTTCTCAGGCGTTAGAAAATAAGGCGTTCGAACGCCTTCCCATTTCTTAACTGACTTGAATTCATACATCAAGTAGAAGACGTTAGCAGAATTATAATTTTGAACGCGTTTGTGCAAGTTAACGGCACGAAGGCATCTAAACAACTGTTTGCCGTCATCGTCATTTAATGCATGGGAATGCGTTAAAAATCGATGCATGTTCATTCATTCCAGTTTTTTGTAAATACTTAAATTCATTATTGCGCCTATTTTGTTCTTTAATAAATGTGAACGCTTTAGCTATCATATCGCGAAGGCCTTCGCACGCAATAGGCGGTTCGAAGGCCTGCACCCAAGAAGAAATTTTGTACCCTCGCAGGCATTAAAAAATTTTTTTCCGCCTTTAAGGCGTTAAAAACCTTCTTTTGACACATTTTAAGGCTTTGCACGACTCTGAGATTTTTAATGCGTTCTCTGGAGTTACCCATGTGAACTAAAGGCGTTCGTATGCGTTATTTTTATAAACATCTATAATGTATGTAAAATTTTAATGCATTGTAGTCTCTTTAGAAAGCTTTTCGGCCTCTAAGGCTTCTCAGGCGTTAGAAAATAAGGCGTTCGAACGCCTTCCCATTTCGTAACTGACTTGAATTCATACATCAAGTAGAAGACGTTAGCAGAATTATAATTTTGAACGCGTTTGGGCAAGTTAACGATACGAATGTAAACAACTGTTTGCCGTCATCGTCATTTAATGCATGGGAATGCGTTAAAAATCAATGCATGTTCATTCATTCCAGTTTTTTGTAAGTGCTTAAATTCATTATTGCGCCTATTTTGTTCTTTAA